CTCCTGAACCCCTGAACCCTGACCCTGGACCCCAGAACCCCTTGAGCCTTGTACACTTCGCTTCGGTTGTACTCCCGTTCCTGAACCGCCCTTCCCGACTCCTGCCTGTTACTATCGTGGTGTACCTTGGGCTACCCGACCCTCAGACCCTGCCCATTACATATCACCACATATACAACTTTAATTCAGAGATTCAGAGACAACAAACCAGGTACTTACAGCCTGATTACTGTAAACTTCCATCTCTCTTTCAATCAACAGCTAGTTCAAATCTCTCATGCCAAGAGTGGCACTCACAATAGCCTGGCATTTTAACTCCTCTTTTGGTAAGCCTAATAAACCTGTTAGTAAGTGTGATCAAAAGAGAAATTTAATATTACCAAGAAAAATTCCAGAACCTTATTGTTTGTAAATATAAAAGTTGAGAAAAGTAGTTAATTAAATCTTTGATGGAATGGTGGAGGAGAAAAAAAGGAGGGAGAGAAGGGGGATGAAAGTTAGAGGAAGGGAGATAACTAACCAGTAGGGAGATTTATCAGTAAGTATGATTGAGGCTCTGTACACCAGGGTGATGAGAATTACAATGCTGTGCAGTTGCGAGCATGTATAGTACACAGCCACTAAAAAGAAGTTTGTGTGGCTGTGTGCGTACGTTTTTGTGGCTGCGGATCAAGATAAGAAGCTTATCTAGATCCACTGTACAGTACATATTAGATTAGAGGTACAAGTATGATAGGGATATGCCCTGTCATCTTGTGACAGACCTCTCAATAGTTCTAGTATATTAGAGAATACCATGACTGGGGACTTGATTGGTAGCCTGATAGCACTTAGGAATCAGAGAAATAAAAAGAATGCATCGGAAGATAGAAGTGCGAGTACTTATGATACTTTGATTTATTAGGTTCGATTTATCATACTATAAACCTCGAGGTGACTTATTTTGGTATCCATCGTAATATATATAGAAGCACGTAGAAAATAATATAAAATATCCTACTACCGTGTAGTGGATACATGTTACGCCGTTAGTATCATTACGCACCGTCTGCCTAACCTGAACTTTTTGTTGACGGCTGCCGTAATTCTGATCTTGAGTTGCACCGCCACATTCCAACCCCACAATCCTAAATCACGTGCTCTAGGTCACTCTTATTCTCTTCCCCTCAGCGTACAGAAATTTCATCGCCTGCAGCATCCCTTCTATAACCTCACAACTCCTAGTAGACTACACCTCAACGCGCATTTTCCTTCCCTACAGTTCATGGGAAATACTTGCTTGGCTACCGCTGCGGTGAAAGAACTTCTATCCCCCTTTATAGAGTCGTGCTGACTAGTGCTATTGATAAGCCCCCTGTTTTCTTGATTGATAGTCTCCCACCACCACCGCGACAATCCGATGACGGACGCGGAGTCATTTTACGATAAACTTTTGGCCTCACTTGCGATCCCCGGACTTGACCTCGGCCCACGAAATGAACCGGAAGAAAGTAATTCTGGAGCGGAGACGCCGACCACTGAGGCTCTTGAGGGACAGGATAAGTTGAATGGCCTGCGCTCTGGAAGCGATTTGGTGGGCCTTCAGGATAATAGTAGGGGACCAGGGGCTTTGAAATCACCAATTGAAACGCGTGAATCTGGTTTAGGTGAGGAAGGGAGGTCCGCTGCTATTCGTGTTGAGGAACGCCGTGATACGGTTCTGGACGCCCCGTCGCTAGAAGAGCCGGACAAACCTTGCCTTCCGGCCAATTTACCATCGCCCGAGCGGCCGAAATCGAGCTCCAAAGGTACTCTAAAGGTACGGACCTCTGCTGCACTGGAAGCTGAGTTACGGCGACGATTGTTGGAAAGTGGGTTGAGGAAAAGAAAATCCTTTTCTGAGCCGGATGGACCTGTACCCCCGACCGCAGCGCTAGACGAGAACACCGAAAAACGCCGAAAGCTACAAGACCCCGGAGATAATTTACAGGCCAAGAATGCACCTGCCGGTCCAGATAATCGTGCTCCAGAGCCTGATTCTGTCGGCCCCGATAAGGCGGCGGAACTGCGTCGAAGATTACTATTCGAGCGCAGTACGTATGAAAAACAGAAATCGTCTACGCAGAAGCCCGGGGCAGCCCCGCAAAAATCACCAACCAAAGCTGTGAGGTCGCAATCGCCGATTAGCATCTCCTCTGACGATGACGACCAACATACCTCTAAATCCTTGTCCCATCCTGTATCACTTCCCCCGCGGCCTCCTCCTCGAATTGGCTTTAGGCTAAGGATCTCGGTTCCTTTCGCCGCCTCAGAAAGTGGATACCTTGTTATGCAGACAGATGAGTTACCCTTGAGCACCACATTGGCCAGCATTATCGAGTTATTTGGTCCCGTGAATGATCGGGATCACTTGTATTTCCCGTATTCGAAACCAAAGCCCTTTGAGAATGTTGCGAAATCTGAGGACGGTGATGAGGAGATACAGGAGGAAGATTTCGGGCAAAGATTCTATCACGAACCCGAAGAATCCGAGACAGAACCCCAAGGAGAAACCACTGGACAATCGACCAAAACCCCAGCAAAAAAGCCAAACGAGACTACCCCTAGATCAACGAAGAGTAGTTTGAATGGTGGAGCACCTGAATTTGTACCAGCCGATAAGAAGGAAGGACCCGACGGGTCTAGGAATTGGGCAGCAGGACGGAAGACCTTAGAGGATGTTTGGACCGGAGGGAAGCAAGAAGTCGAATGTGTACTGATTCGGGCACGAGAATTAGATCAGCGCAGGCAGGGCCAGGACGCTGAAATGTATCCAGATGGCGAGTATTTTCAGCAGAATGGATGGGAGAGCGTGAGAGATTTTCTACCGACAGGGAAACAATCTGACGGAGAATCCCATGGGCAATGGGGATTTGGTGCATCTGGGTTCCCCCCTGATAACATGAGTTACGGATACTCAAACCAACAATGGTCGGGGCCATATCTTGATCCCAACATGCCCAGTCCTTCGACACCTTGGTTCCAGCAGCAAAACTTCCCGCAGCAATCGCCGGTATTCCCTTCACCCCAGCAACCACAACCTGACTTTTCGCCAGAGGGGGGCAACGGTCCACAGGCCATGCACTGGATACCTGGGCATACAGATTACGCTACTGCAGGCTGGATGTACGGTTTTAATGGCACCGCTGACGCCCCAGTTCCGCAAGAGTCACCCCCTGCCGGTGACGGGGCACCAATCCCTCCGGCTCCCGAATCTCGTGGCGCACCCGGTAGCGCAAAGAAGCGCATTAGGAGCAGTCGGAGAAAAAAGGATAGAGGGAAACCCGGCCCGATCAGTAGTCCGGGAGTAGCCAGGGCAGGTGGACCGTCACGCCCCGGTCACTGAACGGGTATTTGTCCTTTTTTGATACCTTTTCGAACCTTAAGTTTTGCCTCTACTTACGAATCTTAGTTTCTGCCCCCTCTCTTCTTCCCCCCTTCCCCCTTCCCTCCTCCCGTTCTTCCTTTCGCCACCGGTTCATTGCAAAGCTAAATGGTATAGTATCATGATCTAAGAACAACGATCGGGTAAACTGATCATTCTCCCGGCTTATGCCTGAATTTCTACGATTTCTTCACCCTTCCTTCCACATAGCGTGTATTTCCTTCATACACCTGATAGCTCACCATTTGTAACACCCTGCTTCGCAGCGGCTTCCATTTGTTTCCTTCCACTTTGTCTCCTCTCTGGAGTGTCAAAAGCAACCTTGTTGGGCACATTCTTCTTTGTTGGACTTGCTTTCCCAGTCTTTGCCATTCATGTTACACCGTTTCAAATATTAGCGGCATTCGCGCAGGGTTTGTAGTGTAGACTTCTATTGTTTCTCCCTTACAATACAGATAGTCTGGTCTAGTGGGCGGTGGGTTTGCGAATTGAGATCGTATAGTACCCACCACATCGTGCAAATTGGTTCGATAGGTGATCTATGTGCTTTTGCTTCCATGCGATATTACTGTGCGAGCAGAGTACCGGTACCCCGCCTCATTGTTGACACGCAGGGAGCCTGACACATGGCCAATCAGGCTTGATGGAATAGGGAAAAATTTCAGCCCTGTTGTTACCTGGGCTATAGTATTTCCTGAAATAGGTGGGGTGCCCGAAAGGGAATTCTGCACAGTGCTGGCGCTAGGGATGGGGGTGGGAAGTGGGATGATTGGAACGTGGAAACGGCAGGGATTTGTGGCGGTGAGTCGAGTGAGGGGTTGCTCTGGGCACCGCGTGGTTGGAAGAGAAGCTGTTAGGGGGGAGCGTATGGGCGTGGGGTTGGTTATTTCCTTGGGCCTCGGGATTGGGTTTTTGATAGACCGCCAGAAGGCCCGAGACGTGTTCTTCAGGGGGGATGCTGTTTTGCAGGGGCTACTTGGGTTATTTGTATAAGTTGTGGGAGTGGTTGCAATGTTTCTAGGAGTGCGTGTGGGTTCGAGTGATGCCGCATGAACCCAGACTTGGTGACTACTGTGTTGCCGTTATGAATCCACCCCTGAAAAACACTGGCCGACCCTGGGGGGCCCGAGCACTGTGTAGCGACACAGGGATACAACGGGGGCGATTAGGTAGGGTTCCTGTTAAAGGAAAAGCAGGTGAGGGCTTCCTGCTTGATATTGCAAGTGTTTCCTCTGATGCTCCCTCTCTACTCCATCTCGGCAATAGGCTGCTTCTCTTGCTACTCCGGCCCTCTTTCTTCTTATTTCTTATTTCCCTTCTGATCGCAGGCTTAGGAAATATTCTTCAGTGTCGGCACCTACAGCACTCGGAAAGGATGTTCAATTGTATATTCGATCCTCCGCTTCCGATAGGGAGCCCCTGTCGCCAATTCAGCGTGGCCCAGGAAGGGGTTTCGGTTCCATGAATCGTAAGCTGAGGGGATAAACTGCCATACTAGCACTCTGCCCCAGATGCGATTCTCAGGATAGATGGTGGTCTGGAGACAGTCGGTATAGTCCCACGCTCGATGGGATGGGAAGGGTGCAGACATTAATGTTAGAAGGTCTTCAAGCAAACAGCAGCCCCCCGCTTTGGAACTCCAACGAAGAGCACTACCTTCTTCCCCGCAGAGTTAGTTTTTTGTCTATGGATTTCGTCAAACCGGTGGCGAGTCAGGTCGTGAACGCAGAGTTCTCACCAAATAGTATGACAAGCCATCGGGCGGTAGCACGCATCCCAGGTCTGGGCCGGCCTGGCGAGGCTTCCTAATCATCCGCGCTATCAATCAAGCATCACCGTGCCTCTCTTCCTTGGTTAGTAACCAACACCTGAGAGGAAACCGTGAGCAAAAACACCACAGGATTGGGCATTTGTTTGAGCTACAATGACTTTTCCAACTCGAATTGAGCCAATTTAAGAGGGCGCTAAAAGATTTATGAATGTACGGAGGCTCTCATGAAAAATAGGGGATTTGCTTTTCTCCAACCCTTGTGGCACGGAGTAGGACAAGATGCGAATGGTCTCCATACATTCAGGGGTTATCTCATTGATTGGCTTGGTATAGTGATTAGTTTCGCGGAGCGAGGGTCTGAGAGTAGGTTTTAGGATAACTGGTTTACTCAGTTCGATAGATTCTCCGCGGTTGATCCCTACCTTATATCTGTTGGTCCTTTGATATCTGAGCGCTTCACCGGAGGGGAAAAAATCTTCAAGTTCCTTGCCAGACACTTCAGGAGTCCCGAGAATTTACAGCCCCGATGGAGTCCGTGACCCGTCTCACACTTGCACTCTTTTCTCAGCCACAATCTCTGGGTAGCTATCCTCCTTGGATAACAGTTTGTGCATGAGCACACTTGAACGCTGTGGGGCCCCTGCGTCAAGCGGCGGGATAACTTCGCTATGATAGGTTGGGTGTCTTTGGGCTACTTGGATTGTCTCAAGCTGGACTGCCCGTATGGGAAAACGACTGGACTAGGTAGGATTCATGCTGCCACCACTACTAGAACCAGGTCACCACTACCGGTTGTCCTGTTAAGTAGTATTTATTGAGGTGAGGCAGTTTCAGCATCTTCGATATTTCAAACTGCTTCACAGAAAGTGTTCCCAGTCTCTCGCTCGCTTCAGGCCTGACCCTCTACCCCCTTCAGCCACGCTGAGATATTCCCGCCCCAACCAAATGTTGAGCGCTGGTCTATTTGGGTAACCGGGAGGGAATCCATGCGGAGTCTCCGTTTCTGTCATGCCTACGCTGAGTACTGATTTTCTAGTATTCTGAGAACAACACCTGTCTACGGTAGAGCGACGGAGCAATTCCTACCAAGATTGGCTGCTCAAACAGACTAGTTTTCAAAATTTTACGCATAATCGAGGCGAGGATGTCTTAGTTCCCGGGGGATATTAATAGCTTGAAGGTTCGGGGGATCATATGCTGCGCAATAGAATACCCACACTCAATGATTATCGCCTAGAATAAATCCTCGGGGGGGGGGTAGCGCTCAGATCTTCTCAATTGGGTCCGGTCATGATGTGCTTCCAAGGTCGCTACCGCTTCAATGTCTGCTTGTGTTGAATATTTTTTCCATTTGTGCTTGGATTAATTGAGATGATTCGGCTGCTAACTTCCCGTTTCGAATCTCACTACCAGCCTTGCACAACGTGTTCGGCCACGGCTCACTATCGTGTTCGGCTTGTAAACCTTTCTATTGGCTCACTGTGCTCTGGTCTTAGTTAACGTGCGAATATGGGTCGTTGAGCTGCGTCGTTATCCTTCGGCTCCGGACTCGAGGGATGGAGTGGGTCTATGGAGGGTCATGTATTTTATTGGTGTATCTAAGTAATTAAGCTCTCAATCAATGGACCGATCGACTATCTGCTCCTCTTCTGCATGTTAGGTTGTTTGCTTTTTGCCGCTCTGCACCTAATGAGCATAGCGTTGCAGAATCCTATGGTTCAACTTTCTTGAAACCTAGTCTAGCTAACTACATACAAACCAGCAATGAAGTAACTCCTCCAAAACAACAAATATAAGAGTAAAAAAAGCGTGAGAGTATCATATCTGGAATGAGGATGTCAGTTCTCACGCTTTTTGAAATAAAAGATAAAAAAAGAGAAATTGAAAAAAGAGTTTGTATGAGGATGAAACATGTACTGAAAAGTTCAGTGCGGCAGACTGAGATGAACGCTAAGAAGGTGGAGCTCCTCAGATACGCTGTCCAGCAATGATTGTCTTCAGGAATATTGTGGCATTTTTCTAATAGGAAATGGGTTAAACGGGGGTCTGCTGTACTACAGGATTGAAGTGGTGTACCACAATGGCCGATAATACACACTCTGGTGGTTCGGTCTCAGCATCGGCAACCCCGGTCACTTCGGCATGTGTTTCATCACTGGTCTATATTTTAGATTGGTTGCATTATAGTGAAGATCTCTATCGTGTTCGAATAAGCCGTAGGTTACCGAGTCACGGACGTCCGATACCATACCAATAAATTAAGTCATAAAGTTAATGCACAACATCGGGAAAAGGCATCCCGCCAATACAAAATGCGACGTCGGGTAATGATGCCTTTCCCCACAGGAGCACTTGCCGCAGAAACTACCGATAAACTAAGGTTCGCACAACAGCCTGATTTTAGATACCTTCCATGTAGAGAAGGATCAAGTCCAGGAGGGCGTCACTGAAGAGGAACCAAGCCGCCTCCATGATGCTCCTATCCGCATGCTAGGGGCTAATCATCTACCTAAAAATCCAAAACCGGCCATTCTTTTCCTCCTCCGTCCGTCCGCCTTGTGTAACTAAGCCCACCTCTATAACAACCCGGATAAGGCCGTCTAGTGAATTTACAGCAAGTAACCGCGCACTATCCTATCCTATCCTATCCCGGGCTAAACCCCGTGAACTTACGGTTGGAACTCTAGACCTCTACGAGTGACATTTAATGAAGCAGAAAATTTATTTATTTCCAGTAATGAATCTATCTCCGATATATGGTGGAAATTGGAAATTCAAGGCTGGTGATGATAGACTACAAGGTTTTTAAAAACATAATTGTGTGATAAACAGCTGAGGGTAAGAATATTGGGTGGGTTAAAAACGGAAAGTAAAAAATCAGAAATGGTTTTTTTTTTAGTTTTTTTTTTATGGCTTTTGTGGTTTCTTTTTTTTTTATATATTTTCTTTTTCCTTTTTTCATAGTTTTTAGTTTTTAGTTTTGTAGTTATTAGATTTTTGGATGGCTGTTTGCATCTTTGGGGTTTCCGTTTTGTTTTTATTTGTGTTTGCTTGCCTTTCGTTTTTTTTTTTATCTCGACAGGGATTGTCGTAACGTTGGACCATTTCCCGGGGACTAATACCTGCACTGTTGAGCATTGGTGTAATCTGCTTGGTACTGCTCAGGTTCCCCCACCGCGGGCATCGCCTGCTGCTGCGCGGCAAGAAGCTTAGCCCTACGGATCCTGAGGCGCCTTTCATGGACCAAAACAGACGGAGAAGGGGTGTCGACAGAGTAAGGGTATGGCGAAGATGGCGGGGTTTCCGGCTCGGGAGTAGGCCAGACAGGGAGAGCAGGTAGTTCGGATGGTATCCCAAGGTATGCATTTATAACGGCTCTGCGAGCTTCGATAGCCTCGACTGAATGGGCCTTGGGTTGCCCGCGATTCTTGTTTCTGATGGACCTGCGCGTGTGGAGGACGAATTGGGGAAGAGCACTCCCGGGTTCGCGCGGGAGAGGAGTGAAGAGGTGCTCGGTGTTGGTGTCGTGAACATTGAACCGGCCGGGGTCGGGGAAGGTGGACTTTTTGAAGATGGGGGAACAAGGAGTGAGGGGGTCTGAATCGATCGGGCGGGAGAAGCGATTTGGAGGGGTGCGTGAGTCAGACCAATTCTCCGCATATTCAAACTCTGGGGTCTGGGGCCCGGCAGGGGGACGACTTCCGGAGGCTGTGGCGGGGAGATCGAACACCATTCGAGGTCTGACGGGTCTGGGTTTCTCGAAGTAATTGAATGCTGCATCGGACATAAAAGCCTCCCTCCCGGTGAAGTTCATAGCCATAGGTTGCT